AGAACTACAGACCCAGAGAGAAAATATTCTACAATTCATTAAGCAGACACTTTTATCCAAAGTGAAATACATCAGAGAGTAAGTACAACACAAGCAAGGATCTAGAGAGGAGGAAATAACGTCATTGAGTGCAAATGAACAGCTTTAAGTCTGATCGGACACACAGGTGCTGACAGGAAGTGACCAGAAGCAGAGCACAACATCGACAGCTGTTCTTCAGACAATATATCAGGTTAACCAATGATAAACACAAGTGCACAATAGATTCAAACAGACAGTTAAAAAGATAATCCTGATCACAATCCAAGAACAAAAAGGACCTGAAACTGCAAGGAACGACTTTGACAAGACAATACCTGCTTGCATTCAAACACACAAGCAAACACACATACAGATTGAGACTTACCACTGGTCCCTGTTGAAGGACACCAGCAGGCGGATCCCAGGAGGAATAGCTGCCATGTTTAGACGCTTTAGTACTGACGGTTACAGAGAGGGGAATCTGTTGAGGGCTCACGCTGAGCAGGCTGACTGTGTGCATGCAGATGTGGTAGTGCCGCCTCGGCTCATCTCCATCTCACAGGAAGCTGCTGGGAGGTCCACAGCAGGGGGAAACATGGCTGACACACAGAGCACTGGAGCAAGATGGGAAAACTGGAGTCTGAAAATATGAAAAGAGGAAGAGGGGCAAGAAATAGAGTGTCAGTTACACAGGTGGTTTCTCCTGCTAGGCTAAACTTACAGGAAGTGTCAGACATTAAGGTAAAAAGGAAGCCCAAATCAGTACACCAGAAGCTGCTACAATTCACATTAAAAAAAATGTATCACCACCTGTGACATTTCAGGCCCTAACCTTTCATCAGACATGAACAAGTGAGGATACACACCTCCATATATGCAACCCCTGAGGTCACATCATGTAATACAAAGTAAGGAACAATATTGTTTTGTTGTTTGGGTTCTCTTGATTTGAGGGTTATGTTCTGTTTTTTGTTTTTCCCGGGGTTCGGGTTCTCTTTGCTGTGTCACTTTGTAAACCTGTTTTTAAAGGCGCTATGTAAACAGATGTACTATTGTTCTGTTGCACAGGTGTTAGGGGACGACATACTTTGCATACCAATAGTTTATGACATGTTTATACGTCAAATAACGCCCTCCCTCTGATCTATCAAATCATCTTACATGCATGATCTTGTATTTTCCCCTTACCCCCACCTCACCTCGCCAGCTGAGTATCTGCTGCTCTGCACATGCTTATTCATGCCTGAGGCAGCAGCTCGGCTCTGGGAGACCACATACTGAGCAGAGGAACCACGATGAGCTGGACCTGCATGAATACTAGTATGTCTGCTTATGAAAACTAGAGAGGGTGGCCACGTCACAGCCAGTGGATCTATCTATACATGTCTGCCTTAGACTTTTATGATCATTACCACTAGCTGTTACATGATGTGCCACATATACAGTAGCAACTCTCTGGTGTCATATATTTGGCTTCCTGGTTTCGTCGTCTAGTAACCTAAAATCAAAGCTCTTGAAGGTGTAGCTGTAATCTCACCTGCTACAATTTGGTCAGGAGGTTTTTTTAACATCCAATAAATGATTTAAACATCTTCTAACATCGATTTTAAAAGAAGCAGAAAGACATTAAACCATCTCTTCCTCCAGCTCCACTTCAGTGTTTGCTGAGGCAGAGAGAGCAGAGCAGCATCTGAAACTTCAGACGGTACTGTAGGCTGATATTCACATTACTCTCCTAATGTGTGATAATATGTCGAATAATAACCATTACTGGTGAGATATACCGTGAAATAAAGGTACACCAAGCCTGTAAACACTGAGGTTGTTAACAGCTAGCTACTCCACACCGCGGCTAGATCAAACATTTAACCGTCTCCTGGGCTCGTGCTCGAACTAAATTCGTCACAAAGACTCCGGATCATTGTTCTTACCTCGGAACAGAAAAGACGACGACTTTCTGTCTGTTTCTGTCTGTTTCTGCCGTCAGTGTGGCGACGTATCATCCACTTCCTTGTTTAGTGTGAAAGCTAGCGTCTGTCACCGAAGAGCGCCACACACACACCACACACACCACACACACACACACAGCTGGGCTGGCGGCGCGCGGCGCACGTTCTGCTCCGCTGCTCTGACGTCATGATCTGGCTCGTGCTGCTGGAGTCGGGATGTTTGATCTCTGATCCGACAGCCTCTCCATCTACATTTTTTTTTACATGTATTTGAATTGTTATCTGTATGGAAGCCCATTTCCGCCAGTAAAAAAAATAAAATAATAAAGTCTCATTATTTTTACTTATCTCATTATTATGTCTTTATGTTTCATAATTTCGACTTTTTATCTCATAATTATGACTTTATTATTTTAATTTTAATTTTTTTAACTGGCGGAAATGGGCTTCCATATATCTGAGACTAAAACAAATTTTACTGAATAATCTGTGATGGAGAAATATGATGTGGAGAGAAATATTCTCTTTTTTTCAAACCTTCCCTTATATAGCAAGTAGCCTATGATATCCATTAATGAAAATGTTCTGAAAGGAAACATATGCACCAGTTTAAAAATTAATTGTAAATGGACTTAATTAAAACACTGGAAGGGCTGACCAATAAGAAAGCCACCAGGAGTAATGGCATTTACAAAGACTTGAAAAAACTCTTTAAGATTCAAGATTCTGTCTATTTGTCATTTTTCTCACATTTGCATACATTCCTAGGACATTGCTACATTCCTAAAACTAAAGGTGACCGAGTCTTTCCTGTTCGACCCCTTTGGCTGTGGATAAACCTGCTGGAGGAGATCAGGGAAGCAAACACACTGCCTTCTTTGAAGTCACTTGAAGTCAAACTCACTCTTTTAGACTAGATTTTTGTTGATTGTATGGTTTTATTGTTGTTTTATGTGTTATGTTTTATCAACTGTTGCTTGCTTTTAATTGTATGTAAAGTTCTTTGTAACTTGTTTTGAAAAGCGCTATGAAAATAAAGGTATTATTATTATAAAACAAGACCAAATGCTGAACTCCGAGCCCCAAGCAGTGTGACAGAAAAACCTTTTTGTAATTCATTCCTAATGTTTTGTTATTTCTCTCTAATTATGGATAGATAAAGAGAGAGAGAGAGTGAGAGTGAGAGAGAGAGCGCCTCTGTGGTCCACCATTGCAGTGGTTCCCAAAGTGAGGCTCGTGAACCTAAAGGGGGTTGCGAGCCACCAAAAGTGGGGGTCTTGAGATGCTTAAACCTGTGTGTTTATTTATAAAGTTTTGTTTTTCCATTCAGTGCTTGGAAATTATTTGTATTCTGTTCTTACTATAAATTGCTGTGAACTTCAGAATCAGAAATACTTTGTTTGAATAGTCCTTTGGTGTGTGTGTGTGTGTGTGTGTGTGTGTGTGTGTGTGTGTGTGTGTGTGTGTGGCACTGCACTATGTTATATGTCTCAACCACCTCCATGGACAGTGGGGGTCTCCAGTCTCTGGCACCCTTATTTTGGGGGTTCGGTTCAGGAACCCCTGGTCTATTCCTATTTTCTGATGTTAAAAAAAAAAAGATCAACCACCATGTCAGTGAATGTCACAATAAACGTTTAGAAGATAATTCAAGATAAATGTCATTTAGGTCACCTCTGGAAACCATGTGGTCTCCTCTGTGTCTGCTTATCTAGTGTTATGATTCTACCACTCAGTCAGTGCTCTTCAGGAACATGAACATTTGTTCCTCTAAAAGCTGGACATTTCCAGAGAGCATAAACCAACTTGAAGAAGGAATGAAAGTAATTATCTGCAATGTCTTCATTTAAATACATGCATGTGAAGTAAACATGTTGAACTCTGTTTTTTTTTTTGCACCTCTTCTTTTCCAATTGGATTCTCCTGCCAGGAGTGAAGATTACACATTATTAAGAAGAGCCTTGAAATGCTAGATTGGTGAGATATGGCCCACTCTACATCTTTCACCCTCTCTACTTCTTATTCATTTCAGTTTTTTCTCCTGTTTTAGTCTTTCATGCATTAAAAGCACTTGTCAGTTACGTGTCCCTCCATCCGCGTGCCTATTACTGAAGCTTCTTTCGTCTCGCGCTGCATGTCATCTTCAGTATTAAAATGCTTTCCTCGCCCAGCTTTCAGGAAAACAGAATTACATAGACCACACACATGACATTTAAATTACAGGCTGCATTTGAAAACCCAGCATGGATAAATTGATGTACAGTGTTTTTAAATTGATGCACACTCACAACAACCATTACAGGGGCCAACCCAGAATCGTAAACTCTGATTGGCTACGCAGGATTTACATTTAAACCATCTTAATGGGCTTTGTTGCTTATTTCCAGAGGTGGGACCTATTGCATGTTGAAACCAACTATTCAGGCTGTGTTCCAACAGGCAGCTCATAGTGTTGGCTTGTGGCCTTCAGCATGACCCTGCTGAAGGCCACAAGCCAAAACGCGTTGGTCTGATTTGTTAATGAAATGAATTTTCATGCTACAAGTGTTGGCTGGAGCTTTTTGACCTCTTCAAGCCTTTCCCTCTTCATGCACCTTGGTATGTTGGTGTCAGAAAATCCCGCTCTGCTTCTGCAGATGTTTGTTTTCAACTTGTAACTTTGGACGTGGATCATTTGCAGACAGAAGGCGTAAATAAACGCTCTTCATTCAGCTGTGTGCACACAAACTTCAGGCTTCAGCCCTGCACAAGTCAGCGTCCCAGTTGGGCCACCCCAATCCAAAAAGTCTGGACACACCCCTGACTACTTTATTTATTTTAACCCTGTGTTTGACCTCTTTGCTGCCCTTGTTTTTTTTTTTTTAGCAGAAGTTAAATTTCTATCTTCCTCGAAATTGTTCGTGGAACTTGATTTCAGTACACAAAGAAGTCCGGGGTCAAATTAGTGCATTAAAAGCTGGTGTGGCAGCATCAGCCTGCCACCCTGGGGATCTACGCGGAACTACACCGTTTTGTGGAGCGCGGCCGACGTCATCAGTCCGCGTCGCATGGGGGGGGCGAAACGTGGGGAGGAAGAAGTGGAGCAAAGCAGCGTAGTGAAGCTTCTCCACGTGAACCGATGCGAACTGAACATGGCGTCGACTCAGGAGCCAGAGATCCAGTTCGCCCAGAGACTGGCCTCCAACGAGAAGCCCATCCGGACCAAGGCGATCAAGAAGCTGAGGAAGTACATTAATGTCAGATCTCAGAAGGAAGCAGGTGAGCTAGCAGCACCGCGTTTCACTGCTCTGCTAACAACTGCGAAACTCAAACTATCGTCACTGCTCGGAAATAGCGGCTAACACTAAGGCATTACAGGGTGTGATTAAATAATGTATTCATGTTTTAAAGGGACTAATCCCAGCTTTATGATAGTTTGGAGGGTGATTTAATCCCTGGTAGCTCATGCACACGTGTGGATGAGAGTTAGCTTGAAGATTAAATGTCAAACACATCATCAGTAATCTGTGAGAAAGCAACGATAACCTTTAAAATCGTACCTGGTGGGATCCTATTTTGGCTTGCTAATAGGTAAAGAGTCCACCAGGTGTGTGATTTAAAATGATATCGCAGGTTATCACAGATCAAAAGTTGCCCTCTCCTCCACACAATGAATGAATAATAATCAACCTTTTAGATATGCAGGTAACTCTAACCCTTGGATATTTGTTTTCCTCCTCTGCTCAGGTGGTTTCTCAAGCGATGAGGTGCTCAAGCTGTGGAAGGGTCTCTTCTACTGTCTGTGGATGCAGGACAAACCCCTGCTGCAGGTATGACCTGCTTCTGCCTGTGACCTTCTTTTAAACGCCTCAAAATAACAGGAAGAGGACGAGAATAATCCTTCTAGACAAAAAAAAAGAAAACAAATCATTCTGATCACTGGCTGCAGACCTGGAGCTGCGAGGTTACACACAGGCTAAAGTAGACACAGGTTAATAAAGATGAAGACTTCTTTTGCTGAAATGGATTACTGTTGCCCTCTTCTTGTACACTCGGCATGTGACGTCCATGTGTGGGAGAAACACAGCAACAGAATGCTGGATGATCTATATTTACTAACTTTACCGTAACCTTTCTTACCCTTGAACGTGACAGACAAATGATATAATTGTTTCCTCCAAAAGGTGACACGGTTGTTTTTCTTTTCGATATCGAAACCATTAGACACATCGAGTTATCTGTTAGACTGGAATATAAATACAGTGCAGTAGTGTTTTGATGATTGTCAGTCACAGAGGATGATCAAACACAGAGCCGTCAACCGTCTGTCAAGTAGACAGATATATGTGCCGATATCTTTCTCCGTTCTGTAGAGATAAATATATAGATATACAAATGTATTGTGTTGATCCCTCAAAGGCAGTTATCAAACACTTTAGAAAAGATTTATAATGAAGACAAGATGGTCACTCGGCTGGAAAGTAACTGAGCATGAACATGCTGCACCGCCTGACACTCTGGAGAGTGATGATGCTTGTTGTAATCCTTATAGCGCCCTCTGCTGGTGACAGAGAACTGCTAGTTTAATACAATGAAACTCAAATTAAATGCTTTTTAACTGGTGAATGAATCTTGTAATATCCGCGATAAAATTAGCCGATACCAGTAGTCACTGGATTTGCTAATATCGGCCGATTAATCCGCCAGGCTCTAATATCATGGCTACTCATACGGGGGGGGGGGGTTAAGGGGAAAGCTCTCTGGAAACGACAAAACGTTCAGTTGGATATAATGTTTCAGTCGTCTGCAACAAGTTGTCATTAAGAAGTATGAGGTGTTACCAGTTAATTTAATTTGGATTGATTTATGAATAAATATTTAAAAAGCTCAGATTATTTGATAAATGTTAACGTCAGTAAGCCTTTCATATCCATGTTAGTCTTTATTTTTTAGCTCATTCATGTTTAAATGTGAAACTCTCCTCCCTGATAGGACATTAATTCTTACTTGTGTTTCAGGAGGAGCTGTCGAACCAAATCTCCAGCCTGATTCACAGCTTCCACCACATCGACGGACGTAAGTGAACCACGCGTGGTTTCATCCTCTCTCGTTATTTCAGTGTGAACGAGTCAGAATCAGGCCACGCCCCCCTGAGAGTGGTGCTGTTTTGTTCATCATGTGACGATGATGTGTGTGTTTGTTCACCTGCAGAGATTTTATACCTGGAGAGTTTCCTGCAGACCTTCAAACGGGAGTGGACCGGTATCGACCGGCTGCGGATGGACAAGTTCTTCCAGGTGAGCGTGAGGAGGATGCTCGATGAGATGACACTTTCCATCAGCTTGTAGTTTCAGACTGTAGTAATTCAAAGCTTTCCTTTAAGAATATGTTTGATTACCTCAGACCATGAATGTAAAGTCTAACTTTAGTTACTTTCTAATAAAAAATATGTTTTACAAACTAAAATGATCCTAAAAGATCCCGTTATGTGATTTATACAACCAGTGCAGTTCCCGTTCAGGTTGCGCTTGTTTGTATTGTTTGGTGAGAACGTGGCTGGTCAGGATAGACGAGGGACAACGTGTAGTTCTGTGGTCAGCCAAGGGGCCCAAATAAGTTTTAAGTCGAGGGATTTCATCCACCTTTAGTTAAAGAAGGTTAGCTAATGTGGACATGAATAACATTAACTTGGGAGAGTCTCCTTCTGCGTGTGTGTTGTTTACAGAAAGGAGGGCTCTATTCAGTACTTAAGATTTAGAGAAATGAAACTCTAAACTTTCACTGCAATGTCAGATGTCCAGTCCAGTCCACTCAGCGACCTAAGTACCATTGACTTAAACGAGTCTCTTTCTGCGCATGCGTCGCGTGTGTCCTTTTCCGCTTGTCTCGTGTTTCAAGTAGGTTTTGATTCCATCGTGCTGCGCCCAAATGTTTCAACAACAACATGAGCTTATCTAAACTTCACAATCCGCAGTGCACGTCTTTGGTTGAACAGCAATACACCCGCCCAGTGTGACGTCTATCGGACGAATGGTTGTTTAGAAACTCGACTAACAAATACAGCTCCTGCAGCAACATGTCCGATATGTCCGTGGGCAAGACACTTAACCTCAAATTGCTCCCGTTGCTTTGTCAGCGGGGTGTGAATATGTATGAATGGATGAGTTAGTACTGATGGTCTCTTCACACAGCAGCCTCTACCATCAGTGTGTGAGTGTGAACGTGTGACCTGAGGTGTAAAATCAAAAGTGTTTTTTGAACATGTCTGTGGTGCATTCTGGGAAATGTTGTTCAAGATTAATTAAAATAAACATTTCTTTCTTTAACAGCTGGTTCGCTTCATGTTCAGACGAATGTTTGAACTGCTGAAGAAGAAAAACTGGGACAGCAGGTAATGTTTCTGTTTTGTCTGTTTACGTAGTAAGAGCTCACGCTCTTTAGTAAGAGCGAGAGGGTGTCGTCTGTTTTAATCATTTCACAGTTTAAAATAGGACATGGGGTGTTTATAGGGTTTAATAACAGGATGCCGACTCGCCCACAAAGACTGCTGTTGACATATTCTAACGTGATTTAGAAGGGAGTAACGGTGTGCACTCGTTCTCTCTCCTCAGCGTGGTGTCCAGGTTTCTGGAGCTGCTGACGACTCAGCTCCTGCAGAGCGGCAGCGAGGCGCCCTGCGGGCTGCAGTTTCACGTCCTGGACGTCTACATGTCGGAGCTGGCAGCTGTGGGCTCTGCAGAGGTACTACACCACTGTGCACCGGCACGCTTCTGCTTTTTAGGATCAGAAATCGTTCTCATTGTGAAATGTGAGAGAATGTGTCGGCATTGTGGGAGTCTGACACTAAAAGAAGTCATGAAACAAATGGAATTGAAATGTATTCAAATTCGGTATCAGTATCGGCCCTGATTTTCAAAATGTTTGCATCCCTGATCGCTTTTGTTGATTTTGTTCGGCCATCTTTTGCTCTCCGTACAGACAGTGTTTTCCTGCATACACCAAAATCCAGACCCCGAGTACAGTTTAGTGTTGTAGTACTCGAAATCCAGACCGTTTTTGAAGACTTGGTCTCGTCTCAGAATAGAAAGCATTTTTACTCGGCCTTGTCTCGGTCTCAGACTGGGTGGACTCCTGATTTTAAATCAAGGCCACCACTGATCGGCTATTTTTCCTCTTCATCACTATGATAGGAAGGAAAACGTCTCTTTCTAAAAGAACAAATAACTTCAATTAATTTGTAGTTTGATTTTTATCCAACTACAACAAGGTTGCAGTTACAACTGCAACCTTCCCGGTGTTAGGTCTAAGTGAGTGACACGCCCCCTGCACACAAGACGAGGATTTTTCAGTGATATTTATGGACTCTGTCTCACTCTGCCTTGGTCTTGGTCTTGACTCAGTCTTGATCCCTAAAATTCTGTCTTGTCTCGGTCTCTGAGCACTCTGGTCTCGGTGTGGTCTTGACTACAACACTAGTACAGCGTCTGCATGTTTAGGTTGCATCTGTGAATCAAGATCGTTTAAACCACAAAGCCAGTCAAAGGGAGTGAAAGTTTCAAAGAAGTTGTCTTCCGTCTCCTCGCCAGGAGCCACATTTCATGTTGCACTGCCTCAGTTTGCAAAGCATCCTGGGAGTGTTCTGCCTACTTCTCTGCGTCAAGAGCAATATGTCCACTACCTCTTTTTAAACGGGGAATAATTCCCCTCACTGGAGCCTTCTAAAGGGCGAGTTTGGGTCGAGCGGGGGAATTTGGATGCAGCTCTGGTAACTTAAAAACTTTCAACAAACCTTGATCTCAAGCTGGCAGAGTCTGAAATTAAGTTTTTCCTCCATCACTGCTTCCTGACAGTTTCTTAAATGGAATAAATCAAACAAACTTAATCCCTGACTTCTCAACTTCAGAGTTGCAGGCCTGCACATTTATAATTCCGGGTTTTAAGGTCTCACTGCTGCCCCGACTGTGTTACAGAAGCCAGAAAACAGAAAACAGACAACCTCTTTGGGTTCTCCTCATATTGGAACGTTTTTTATACGATCCAAACTCTTAAACCCTGCGGAGAGAGGTGAAGAAAACAAAGCAGCTAATTCCATCCTTTGCCCTCCCTCAAGGTTTTGTCCTGTGTTTGCTTGAATCTGCTCTTAAAACAGGAGGGAAGCTGACTAATTTGAATGTTTCCAGCCCGTCTCCGTGGAGTCCTGACTCTTTATCTGTCACACCGGATAAAGAAGACTAATCTGTGTCTAAACCAATTTAGCTCTTCTCCTGCTGCAGATTTAGTTAATTTGATCCTTTCATTTAGGTCTAAATAAAAAGGAGGAGAGTCATGATTACATCTTGTTTCCACTCTTGTTTCTCAAGTGGAAATAACGTTGGTGTTGGTCTGTACGACCTGAGACACGTCTGCGTTGCAAAACAAAAACTCTGTTTAATAGCACATCAGTGCAGACAACCCGCGTTGCAGTCTATGGTGCAGACAGTCTCCAGATCGTTGAGTTAATCTACCGCTGGGCCTGCAGAGTCTGAATGTCACCTTCCTGTATCACCAGCACGTCGTTCTCTGTTCCGGTAAATGCTGTGGCGTCATATGTTGACAGTGCAGCCAGCAGAGCTTTGACTTGACTAGGAGCTACAGCTCCTACGCTGTTGTGTTGTGAGAGTGGAAGTTTAAATTCTGTTATCCTGAAAACCCTGCTGCATACCACTCCACACTTGTAGCTACATCTTCATTAGAAGAACAGGCGTTGTTCCAGCTGTGTTTTGCGATGATTGAACATTAAATGAGTACGGATAGCAGCAGCACAGTTTGTCCAGGAGCACTTCATCGCAGACCTGTCAGGATCCGAGGGGCCTTAAAGGGATACTTCACCCATTTGCATTAAGCTTTGTATCATTAGAAACCTGGTAGTATTTTTGAATGGTCGTGCATCCCGCCCTCATTTTCCCCTGAGGCGGAAATCTTTGTATTTCTTAGTCTGAAAAGGAGCTTCCAGTGACGCAAAAAACGTCATTTTGCGCCATCGTAAACTGTTGTGTTAGCGGGGTGAAACTACAACGCTAGTTCCTCATATTTTTGACCACTAAAGCTACACCAATCCCAGATCAGTGGGTGGGAACTCACTCCCAGAATCAAAACTGAACGTCCGCCATATTGCTTGGAAGCTATGCTAACAGGCTCTATGGAGAAAGCTGATAATGGCAAAAAAAGCTGATATGGATGAAGGGGATTTTGAAGGTCTTGTGCTCGAATCGGCTGTTTGGGCTATCTCTATGTGCCGCAATATAGCGGCGAGACGTCTGGCAGCAACCGTCTCACCGCTATATTGCTATATTGCCATATTGCCAGCTCAGCAGCTGAGACATAAGGCCTGCCTGTCGGCGGCGGTGAGGGAGGAGCCGGGGCCGACTCGAGCTGGGGCGGACTGGTAGTGTTGGTGCTCTCACTGTTTGTCTATGGACACAGACATAGAGTCTGTTTTCTGCCAGGAATTTCCAAGATGCCAATTCCTGAAAGACATCTCGGAATCAGTTGAGGAAATGGCCGTATTTGTAGTCTATAAATATAGGACCTTAGTGGGAGTGGCCTGCGGTGCTGTGCATTCTGGGATTTGGTGTCTTTCATCCACATGAGCCAAAAAGACACTTTCTGCCTTTTCTCAGTCAAGAAGGCACCAACTTCAAAATGTATTTCACATTTCTACTACATGACCCAATGTCAATACAGATTCATGTTTCAACCGTGTGAAGTATCCCTTTAATGCTCCTCCCGTGTTCCAACACGTTGTCTTCCTGAGTCATCTCAAATGTGCTCTTCTCTTTCCTCTCTACAGCTCACTGCTGATCAGAATTTAATACTCATCGAGCCATTCTGCAGAACAGCAGCAAAAACAAAAGAGTAAGTCCATGTTATCTCACCCTCTCTGTCTCCTTCACACCCCGTCCCTCACTGCAGGAGTGTGTATGAATCTCCTTCCAGATGGTTTTCTGTACTTCATGGTGGTGCAGCAGGAGTTCTGTTGATAATCTTTGATTCTTTTTCCACACCTTGTGCACGTCTCATTCTATCTGCATTTCAAAGTGACTGTGCAGTTTAGGATCAGTCTGAGCAGGAATGTCTCAGAATATTAAACACAGCATCGCCTCATCCACCTGTTGCTTCTCTTTGTGTGTTTTTTTTTTTTTTTTTTGTTATTCTAGTCGGAGTCTTTTCGGAGCCATCTGCAACAGCATCTTCAGCACCATCATCGATCAGGCTCCGTTTGCCATCGAGGACTTGATGAACGAGGTGAAAGCAGCACATGAGTCAGACTCCGACTCGGGACAGGCCTCTGAAGAGGACCAAGAGGAAGAAGAAGACGAAGAGAAAACAACAACAACAAGAAGAAGCAAGCCCGTCGCAAGAAAGGAAAGCAGATCAATGGTACATCTCCAGAGAAAACACAGAAATCATACACTCCTGGATCTCTGTTAATAAGAACATATTTCTAAATAAGTAGTTCGATGTCTTACTACCACACTTTGAGGAAAATCAAGGACACACATTTAGAGTGTTAGAAACCTCCTGTTTCTGTAGAAGTTCGTTTCTCTTTTAGAAGTGCATCCTTAGTTCAGAAATATGATCAATATCCAGATATTGAATATGCAGAGTGCAGAAGCAGACTTTTTGATAAAGTGAGAATATGTGACTAAAAAGGCTGCAGAGGTTCTCCTTTCCCTTTAAATGTTTAAACTTCAGTTGAGCTGTTTTCTTCTTTTAGGCCGAAAACCAAATGAAATCGAGGACGAGGAGGAGGAGGAAGATGATGATGATGATGATGAAGAAGATGAGCTTCTTCACTTGGAGGACTCGGACACAGAGATGCCGTGTGATGAAGACGTGGGTCCAGTCCTGCAGGTGAATGAATGACGGCACTCTGACTCTGTTTGGGGTTTCTATCTGTGACAGCCAATCAGCTCTGTGTTTTATGTTCATGCAGGCAGATTGTTTTTACTCTTATTTATAAAAAGATATGATAGCAATGTTTTAAAGGAGCAATATGTAACTCTGGCACCTAGTGTTTAAAATGGGTACTGCAATCTAATTTCAAAACATTGCAGAACGCTGTCTCTCCCCCTCCTCTCTAGAGTCTTACTAGAAACATGCAGAGTATTTTTATGTCAGGTACAGTCACTTCTATCTGAACCAGTTCTCTTGACTGCTTACATTTTTTTATTATAGACTTAAACTCCATTAAAGGATCAACCCTCCCCTCCCCCTCAATCAAAGCAGGGAGGTCTGATAATCACTGCCTGTATCGCTTTAAGATTCGCTTTTCATGTTTAACTAACAGAACAAAATAAGCTTTAAAATGTCCTTCAAGATATCTTGCAGATCTAACCTAGATTGTCCAAGTGTCCTCGAACACACCACGAAAGTTGAAGCCCCTGAATGTGTCTTGGTGTTCTCTTTGGGAGTGAGGGTCCTGTTAGAAGACACTTTGAAGTCTAACAGTCTCAAAATAGAAACTTGAGGGATTCTTTGGAGAAAAGAAGGAAAGGAATTAAAAGTTTATCAGCAGGTGGATTATCGTGTCTTTCACTCTGAAGCTTCTTCATCTGCTCATCAGTCCGATTCAGAGGAGAGACACGTAATGGAGATTAGTTTCTGATTAGCTGTCTGTGTGTGTGTGTGTGTGTGTGTGTGTGTGTGTGTGTGTGTGTGTGTGTAGTTTGACTACACAGCCCTGGCAGACAAACTGTTCGTGTTCGCCAGCCGGAGCAACACGCCGAGCCACAACAGACAGAGACTCTACAAGATCATCAAAGTGTGAGTACAAGCTTAATGCTAAGTGTGCTTGTGTGTGTGTGGCTGCCTTAAGGACAGATAGCCAGCAGCATTAGAAAACAAGAGTCTAATTCCCTCTGAACTTTTTCAATGTGTTTCCTCCTTTTGTCTTAGATGATTTAAAATAACATTTACTTCACGATTGTCTGGTTAATAATTCTTCTGGTTTTTCAAAAAAGCAGATTCTTAATGAATCTGTGACAACCACACTTGTATGTCTTCCTGTCATCAAATCAGACTGTGGTCTCAAACGTTATAGTTCATCAGCCATGAAAAGATCAGCTCATGAATAATTATTTCATTCTGTCAGAGCACCTGATGAGAGTCCATGTCTGAACTTCTTTACACGCCAATGTTCAGTGTTTGTTATGACGCCACCTACTGGTAGCAGGCGGTAAGCCGGTAAACTGTTATTGTATTTTGGGGTAAAAAAAATCCTCCACAGATTCAGAGCATTCATCCGTATCCTCTGTCCGCAGACCTGTGAAAACTTCACCTGTAAACTCTCCGACAAACAGCCAATCAAAATGTGTGACATCGTTGTTGCTTCAGAGTTATGACATCATAACTTCTCACCATGGCTCCGCCTCTAAACAACCTGTCCCGCTCTAATCAGCTAGAATCATGAAGAACACCTGTGTGAGCGTGTGGAAGCTTTAAGCTGGTCCTCTGCTGGAATCCTGGTTCTTTGTGAAGTTGTGTTTTTATTTCTGAACTCATGTTTGTATTCTCCTCCCCTCTCTTCTATTCTCTTCTCGGGGTCCGGTGTCGTATTTCAGGCTGCGTGACATCAGTGAAGGTAGGAGCTCTCCATCACACCGTCTCTTAATTCACTCTAGATTTGATATCGAATGAAAACAGAATCACTCTTCTCGATCTTTGACCTCTCTCCGTCTCCTCCTGGCTTTCAGGCATCTTCCCTCAGGACGACTATCCGGAGGAGGTCTCCACAGACGAGGACGATGAATATTTCGGCAGCAGGAAGAGGATGAAGAAAAGAAGACGAAACAGGGAGGAGGAAGAGGAAGACCAGGAGGAGGCTCCAGCTGCCAAGAAAAAGAAAGGTATCTCATGATTTACAGCCTGCTGGGAGATGAAAAGTTATCAGAAAATGAACTGAATACACTGATAAATAATTCATGAATTTAAATCATTTAGAGTTTGTAGGAAACAGAAGTTTTGTTGCTTTAAAATATTCAGGTAACATTTCACTGTGTTTCATATTCTGACTCTGAAACCAACATTTGTTCACCTCACATGCTAAAGTGACGAGAATGATGCAACGTTAGATTATTTAAAGGAGCAGTATGTAACTCTGACACCTAGTGTTTAAAATGGGTACTGCAGTCTAAATTCTAAACATTGTAGAGCGCTGTCTCCCCCCGTCCCCTCCTCTCTAGAGTCGATGCTCACGCAGGTTAACCATGTGGTGGACACTGAAGCTTCAGTGTTTATCCAGCTCTGCATCGGTCTGTAAACCTTGCTGTGTTCTAACCTCTCTCCATTTTTCAAAAGCATCTCCAATATTGATCCTAGTTTGAGCACGTTTCTGCTCGTGGAGCTTATTAGAAACATGCAGAGGCTTTTTAGGTCGGGTACAATCACTTCTATCTGAACCAGTTCTCTTGCCCGCTTCCATCGCTGCAACACCTGTTGGTTTGACCTGATAACTGCTCTCATATCTGGTAAACCGAGGGGCGTCCGAAACGGCCAGACCACTCAGAGAGAAGTACAGTGCAAACAGTGACATCTATCTGATCCGTGTTTCTGCTTCTTCAGGGAAGAAAAAGGAGGCATCCAAATCAGACAGTCAAAACAAAGACTCAGGAAACGATGTCAGTGACGCAGCTGATGTGACGGCAAACAGTGACAAGAAGAAAAAGAAGAAGAAGAAAAAGAAGAAAAAGAAAGCCGTGCAGGTAGGTGCTGCAGATTCTGAGGAAAACACCAAGACGTCTGAACAGGAGCAGAGTCTGGCTCAAGATTTGAGTGCAAGCGAAGAGACTGTAGGAGGTAAAACAGAGAGTTCACAAGAAGAGAAGGAAAGCTGCATCTCATCTGTAAAAGTCACAGATGCAGCAGCTGCAGACGGGCAGGCAGAAACTCTGCTCCTTTCTGAGGTGAAGAAACAGCCTTCAGTCACAGTCACAGAGGAAGCCAGCGAACAAACCCCAGACAGCCAGGACCAACCGGAAGAATCGACAGAAAGCAAGAATCAGGAGCTCCAGCCTGAGGTGGCCGAGGAGCAGCAGACTTCAAAAAGTACAGAGACTTCCTCTGGAGCTGCAGCATCTGAGAAAAAGAAGAAGAAGAAGAAGAAGAAGAAGGGCCTGAAGTCACAAACGGATGAGATTGTGGCTGAGTTGGAAGAAGCAGAAATAACGACAAAAACACCTGAGACTGAGACAGAAACTCCTGCCAAGAAGAAGAAGAAAGAGGAGGAGGGCCTGAAGGCTGAGGGAGAATTGAAGGAGGCTGCAGATCCCCCAGCAGCACTTTGTGAGGAAAATGGAACCCCAGCAAAGAGGAAAAAGAAGAAAAAGAACCTGCAGCCTGCCGACAAGGAGGAGGTGCAAGAGGTTGAGGGTGCAGCTGAGGAAGAGGGAGGACAGGCCGTAGCTGGTATTCCATCACCAGAAGAAACGGCCACCCCACTTAAAAAGAAGACAAAGAAGGCGCCGAGCGGGAGGAAGCGACAGCTGAGGCTGCACATGACAGCTCTGCAACCCCGCTGAAGAAGAAAGCAAAGAAGAATGAAAAAGAAACGGAGGCTGCGGTGGAGGATGAGGGAGCGGCAGTGGTGGCAGAAATGGCTCAGGTGTCGGATGCTGAGAAACCGCCGTGTGAGACGACAACACCCGCGAAGAAGAAGAAAAAGAGCGGGAAGAAGCCGGCGGCAGCTCAGGCTGGAGACATCAAAGATTCATCCGAGGCGCAGGTGGATGGCAGTGCAGACGCGGAGCTCCTGCTGGGAGTATCGGAGGTGCCCTCCTCTGGGAAATCAGCCAAGAAGAAGAAGAGGAAGATTCCTGTGGTGTTCGAGTTTGAGGCTGAGGAGGTGGAGGCGGCTGCATCGATCAACGGCCTCGCAGCACAGGAGCAGACCAACGGAGACAGTGTGAGTGTTTGGGAAAAAAAAAAAAAAAGTTAAATGGCTCACATTAGATTTAAATGTCTGAACACGCTTTAAGACTTCTAAATAACTTTTTTTATTACAGAATGTGAGCGAGCAGTCAACGCCTCTAGCTGCTAAAAAGCCCAAAAAGAAGATGAAGACGCCCTCAGGGTCCGACTTTGTCACGTTTCAGAGCAACGCTGCCGTTCCAACGCCGCTCTTCTGCAAGACCAAGGGCGGCCTCAGCACCCCCCGGTCCAGCAAGACCAAGGGAGGCCTCAGCACCCCGCAGCACAGCAAGAAGGTAAACATCTCAACTCAAACTACTTTCAATGAAACCGTCTGTTATTTTACTGACGGATAGTAAAGAACATTATCTGTAAAAAGCTGTGAGAAAAGAAGAAAATAATCCATCCAGAATTGCTCAAATTCATTGCCAACATACTTGTTCAAACTGAGACAATGTGCAGGAGTTCACCTTGCAACCTGTTTTTGTTGCCATGGTATCAAACGAGTATTATTATCAATCGATTTCCACTACGGTCACACTAAGTATAAAATCCTGTAACCATGACAACCCTATCCTCATCTCTCTTGCTTCCTGTAAAGATGTTTTCATGCTCATAAGAACCAGAAGCAGCACGAAGCAGCACGAAACCTGTTCTTACCTAAGTGATGGCGTTTTCACATTAGGCATGATTGTTTGTGGTACCGTGCCCGAGAGCATTATACAAGATGAGTGATGTCATGTAGTGGTCCACTTCCTTGTTTGAGCACCGTTGAGTTCACAGACGGTGCTTGAGTACACCTGAGTCGTGCCCGAGACCACCTGATCCAAAACACTGGAGGGAGGTGGAAAAGAGCAGATCGGAGACAGACGTAATAGAACTTTTCTACTCCTCAGTTTAGCTAGACACGACTCAAACTGTGGATTTTAACACAATCATTAAAAATCTAAATGCATCTCTATGAATCTCATCCCATCCTCCATTTTTCTCTCGATACGATAATACTCCAATAAGAAGCAGTCTGACCTGAACCCTGAACTGAACTGAGTACACCTGACTGTGATATAAAAGCCTCTTTATAACCCTCCATGTAGGGACATCAACTCTGGGCGGCAGTAGCTCACACTGTCGGTTCAACTCCCCGTGCAGACCAAAGTGTGGAAGTTAAGTCTGGTGGCTGGAGATGTGCCGGGTCACTTCCCGAGCAGCCTGATCCCATCTGTCGTGATCCCCGTGTTGCTGCCTCACTCTGACGTTTCTCCATTAATGCACGACCACAGATCGTGTGTGTGTGTGTGAAGCATGTCTCTCTATAAGTGTGAGACCAGAATCTCCCCTCAGGGATTAATAAAGAATGTCAAATAAAATGCAAATCAAACACACAGATGATTTTTCTTGTACGAGCTACGACGTTGCATTACCGCTCACTCACTACGCACTCCACGACAGCAGAAGAAGAGCGATATTCAGATCCTCAAGGAACAAATGTTCAGGTTGTCTTCAAAACAGTAGTGAGAGTAAGAAGCGATACTTTGAACATGAAGAAGGATGGTCGTCGGCGCCGTTGACTCATAATCATGCCCAGAGCCAGCCCTGCACCTGTTCATTTAGCCGATTTGTGTGTGTGTACCTACAGCCCGTGCGTTTAGAACTACTTCAGTTTTTTGGAGCGAACAGAGCGCTCTGTAACAAAGTTTGTCTTCAGATTACAACAAGCTGTGACATTAGTAACGTGCAGCCACTGATTGTTGTCACACTCCCCGGGACTCTTGCAGATCCCAGGTGGTGCAAGCGCAACACTGCAGGCGGTTTTGGTTTCCATTGTCTGAACAACTGTCAGCTTTTAGAGATTTTCTAAGGGGGCTGAAAGAAGATATTTCAGAAACAGTTGGCAGCAGTTGAATCAAAAACAGCTCTTTTCTTCTTCTTCTTCGATTTTGACACATGATGTTCAGAGTTCTATTTACTGAATCAATAAACTGTTGAACCGTCAGACCTTCAACTAGATGAGTCACTGCACGAGATGGAAAATAAATCTGTGAATGAAATGTGGAAATGGATGCTAAGAGTGTGTAGAGTGAAGGTTTGTTTTTAACTCTTCATGTAAACACGGATGTAAATACTCGGGCGCTAACTGAAGTGATATCTGTCAGGAATAGTCACTTCCTGTGATCGTTTTATCACTGTTGCATAGATGAAGTGTGATGTTTGTATGATGATATTTGAGCCGTTATGCTGCTGCTGTAGGAGACAACGACGAGTAAAAAAAATGGTGTCTGCTCTGAAACATTTTCTGGTCAACCTGATGTCACTGGCTGTCGACAGGATGTCTAACGATTCACTGCCAAGTAACATCCCACAGTTCAAGTCAAGCAACCTTTTTTTAAAAATGGGAGAAGGATTTAAACAAGCGGCGACCTCTAGTGTTGAAAAATGAAGCCAATGCTGAGGTGCAAAATCCTGCAGTTCCTCGAGTGTCCACTGGAGGCTGGCTGCAGAAGTACAGGAAGTCACATACACACCCATTCTAAAAAGCCGGTTTGTCAGGAGGCTTAAAACCCGCATCAGCTCCAGCTCTCAGCCTGTCGTTAGGTTGACTGAAAGTTAAACTGAGACAGCATTTCCAACATGGAGACCGCCAGTGATGGGACTCCAGCGCCCCCTGCAGGAACAGACGGGTGACGTCACTCAAACTGTCCTCACAGTCCCTGAGTCCAGGCTGAGAATCATCAGAGAGACGCTGATTGTTCAAAGGCTCATGCTGGTGCAGTGAGGCAGATTTGCTGCATCTTCATTTTCAAATCTGTTCACAGCAGAACAGCACGACTCATAGGAGGCGGAACACAGAAAGTTTTTGAGCCCTAGATATAAAAATCTTCGAGGCTGAAGCATATCTGATCCCGTCTGTGAGTCTGCTCCAGGCCCCTCGTGGAATAGGAACCAAACGCTGCATTCCTGAGTTTTCTTTTTATGCCCAGATACTGTAAGGATGAACAATCTTTTGCATTTTCATCATCCTGGGGCGAGAAAAACAAAATCTGTAACCGACCAGAAGAGTCGTTCTCCTGCTCGTCTGCTTGATGTCAGATTAAGTGAGAGTCATTGTTCTTAAAGAGGTGAATGAGGTCGACTCCCTCTTCTGTGTGTTTCTGCTCTCGCCTGATTGTAACGTTACTGACCTTCTTTTGTGTTTTTAATCGACAGAAGACTCAAACTCCCAAATCGGAGTCCAAGAAGGTGACTTTCGGCCTCAAGAACAACAAGACAGCCGGTAAGAATGCCACACATTTATGTGCTCACTTACCATAACTACAAGATGATGAGTGAACGAGGAAGGAGCACTTGTGTCTGAATATTACTGTGTTCAGAGCTAAGTGGTTCAGTGTGACAGGAAGAACAGGGAATGGAGCACTTGCTATCTTCAGCTGAGGGTGTAGAAATAGTTGAGAAGAGCTCTTCGCAGAGAGTTCATTCAGGTGTCTGTAGTAATTTTACTGACTGTCAGTAAGAGACGGAGCTGGCAGAGTGGATTCTGCACCTTTAGAAACAGAGAAACACCGTGCAGTAGTGGTGTGATGATACACTCTGCTCGTGAGACGAGGTGAGACTTCACACGATTTTAGAGAAAAGTTCAATGATAAAAAAAAAAAAAGAAATCACTGGAAAAAAAAAAGAAGTATTTAATTCCATTAAAAGTCATGAAATGCAAAATGATGCAGGTATGTTTTGAAATGATACAAATCATCTTGTAATGAAATGTTACTGATCTTAAAGGTCCAATCAGTAAGATGTGTAGTCAGTGAAATGATAAAGTGACCTTACTATGATCAGACATTAAGGAAACATGCTATGTTGAAGTGCTGGCTTCTCTGACAACAATGCAGCAGCCAGTATGTCCTCCATCTAACTTTAGATTCTGCTCCTGAATGCTCTGGATTTGTTTGGACCAGAGAAGGTAGGCGGTTTTAAGGCACCCTGACACAGCTGTTTTGGATGCCCCTCGTTTGCCAGATATGAGACCAGTTATCGGTCACACCAACAGGTGTTGTAGTGATGGAAGTGGGCAAGAGAAGTGGTTCAGATAGAAGTGATTGTACCCGACCTAAAAAGCCTCTGCATGTTTCTAATAAGCTCCACAAGCAGAAACGTGCTCAAACTAGGATCAATATTGGAAATGCTTTAGAAAAATGGAGAGAGGTTAGAACACAGAAGGTTTACAGACTGATGCAGAGCTGGCTAAACACTGAAGTTCAGTGTCAACCACATTGCAACCAAGCGTGAGCATTAACTCTCAAGAGGAGGGGGCAGGGGGAAACAGCTCTCTGTAATGTTTAGAATTTGGACTGCAGTACTAATTTTAACCACTAGGTGTCAGAGTTACATACTGCTCCTTTAATATATCAAAAACCTCTGATTCCTGCTTCTTTTTTTATGGCACGCTGTCTGTGTGAATATTATGGTTTCTAATGGGAGCTCTAAGTGTTCAGTCTGTCTCAGTCATGTTGTGTAACCTGTGAAGTATGACCTTTTGTTTCCTGTCACGCTGCAGAGTTCAGAAAGACGGATCGCAGCCTGTTGGTGAGTCCAGACGGCTCGTCTCGAGTGCCCTTTGACCCCCAGCAGAAACCCAAGTTTGGGGTCTTGAAGTCTCCGCCCACCCCTCTCTCCAAAGTTAAAAAGACCCCCACCAGCAGCAAGAAGGCCATCTCCAAACTGTCAATCGTGACTCCTAAAAGACGAGCATCTGCTGCAGATTTCTTTTGAATGCCGGCGCCCTGACAGACTGTTGGTGCAGATGTAAAGGACTGAGTTACACACTTCTGTTTGGACTGATTTATAAAGAGGTATTTTTGTGTTTATTACACGTCGGCGTTTCCTCTCCGAGTGACTCCAAGTTTTAATAAAGTTGCTCATTACAGTTTTTCCAATTTTATCCTGTGTCCAGCTTCATGTTTCTGTCCTATGAGTGTGAAAAAAAAAAGTCTACATTTAAAAGTAGCCGTAAAGTACAGAGGTTCCTTTGACCTCTTCATCTTAAGACAAACACTGTTTTTCCTTCAACGTTTAAGTAAAGACTCGGCGCTGCTTTTAGATCGACTGCAGCCCCATGGAGGACAACACATCTTCCTCATTGCTATGTTAGAAGCCAGAGCGTTAATTGAAGATGAAGCAAATCTAAAGATCCTTGCCCAGGACCAGGTGAGCTCGATCACCTGCTGCAGTCAGGAGAGCGTCAACCTGCAGAGCAACAGGAGAGATAGAGAGTCATGTTGCACCTTGTACAGTGAAAGTTTTATTGAACAATGATTGCATGTGTGCATCATCAAATAACAAACTGTATTATTATAGCACCTTTTGAATCCCAGGTTACAAAGTGCTTCATAGCAACAAGATAGAAAACATAATGGCATGTTAAATAAAATATACAATAACAATCTTGGTAATGACAAGAACAGGAAGTGGTTCTAAAAACTGATTCAGGACGAACAAAACAAAGGAGGTAAACACTACAAATCCCCGTTTCCACCAACTGGCTTGGTCCAGTTCAGTACGATATGGTTCGCATTTATTTGTGTCTCCACTTTCAAAAGTTGAGACTGGTACCAAAATAACCGATCCATACGGTCCTACTTTTTTTGCTTCCCTTCTGTTTGGGTGCCAAGCGACCCCTTTTCGACCCTGAAGGGCGGAGCTAGACACACTGCAGTCTGTTGATTGTACTTTTATCCTCAAATGGCTTCAGATAAATATGCAAGTTGAATTCAGGACTCATCTTTTCTCTGGCTGAGGGTCACTTGACATTTTGACAAAAGACGAGGGAGGAAACTAAAAGTGAGCCGAGTATTTAACTTCAAATGTCAAGCATCAAACACATTAACATGCTCAGCGTCACTTCGGGTGCAGGACGGGTCCCTTGCAGACCTTATCAACGTGGTAACCTTTCTGTCTGTCGTGTGGGAGAGCGGGCTGCTGCACTGTGATTGTATTGGTGATGTGCGTGCAGGTAATTTTACAGACTTGTTGGAGGCCTTAGAAAGTCACAGATACTCAAACAGATGTATCCATCTGTGCTTTCACTGAAATGTGACAGAACTGATTCTCTATTCAGATTAGTAAAAACTTGGAGTAAAATATCCTCCACTGTAAATTCAACACATTTCCACATTGTCACACAATGCTGATATGTCGGGTAGCAGGGATTTCATGCTCAAGGTTTGGAGCTTTTCTCTGAAAATAAATCAAGGGGAAAAAAAGGACGGGAGACCCCTGCCAAAAAGAACAAAAGAAGGGAAGGTGCAGAGCCAGCCGCGGAAAAGATCCTCACCACATTGCTGCCCAGAGTGTGTGTGCACCACAGGCTCTACTACCTGGACTCTCTTAATCCTCCTCCTCCCCCTCCTCCTCATCCCTGAGCACAGATTTGACTCAGGTGTGCAGCAGGTAGAGGAAGGAGGGAGAGACGGTAAGAGTGTGACACTAAAACTATTTTAAAATTTTTTTTATAACATCATTAAAGCCATGAAAAGCAGAAGAATGTGCCACTTTTTGTTCCAATAAATGTCGCTCCTGAGCTTCAGCATGAAACCAAAACAAACTGCTGTTTGGCCACAGCTCGTCCTGACTGAAGCCTCCGCTCTCCTCCAGAGACACACCTCCTACCCCTCTCCACTCGCGTTCGCACGAAGGAGTTGTCAAAGTGGAACGCACCATTAAGCAAAAGCGGCAGACAAAATTGTCCTTTGCTCGAGCTGCAATCACCTGTGTCCTGCATTGTTGTTAGCATGCTAATGTGAGCGCTCTTTAGTTAGCTTGTAGCTTTACATTGCATGTAAATTGACACAGAATGACCGTGATCTAAAAACACTTACTAACTAGTGATGTGTCGGACATGAACGATTCGTTCAAAACGAACGAATAATCTGGGTGAACAAACGGAACTGAATCACTTACTGAAAAGAGTTGTTCATTTCTCAACTTCAGTTGCGCTCTCCTCTCTCCCGTCTCGTGTCTCTCTCTCCAGGCTGTAAGAGTCTCTCAAAACCCGCCCTCCCTCTCCTCTCATGTCAGTGATACGTACTGACTGAACCAACAGGACGGAGTCGGTCGGGAGCTCTGTGTCACTAAAGCCCGCCCCTACTTCTCCCTCTCATGTCTCCAAAATTGAGGAAGTAGAAAATATATTATTTAACATTTAGGTGTCGCGAAAATGTATGTGCTTTTTATATCTGCTGCCAGTTTACAAACGGCTTTTATATCCAACTTAATTTCACTCAGCTGACTGTTTTAACATCTACTAACGATCGTGTTTCAGTCAGTACAGTGTGTGTGTGTGTGTGTGACTGAGGCTGGTGACTCGCAGTCTCGCTCGTTCACTGAACGAACTGAACGAGAGCTCCGACGTGAATCACTGAACGAACTGAGAGGAAGAGCGGCACTCTCATTCAGTGAACGAACTGAACGAGAGCTCCGCCTCCGAGTCACTCTCTTCCTCTCAGTAAGTCAGTAGTGAGTGATTTGTGTACTGAACGTACTGAACAGAACGGTCGGGGAAAATAAATGTGATTGTTTTAGCAGCTTTCAGTTTGCAAACTGTGGCTTTATCCAACTAAATTCTCAGCTCATTGGCTTATTATTCACCACCGGCTGTTCTCAGTACGATCACGAGCAGAACTAAACGTGCAGCCGTGTTTCAGATTATTCAATTCTGATTCACAGACAGAGCTGCAGAGAAGTACTAAATGATTCGGTAAACGAATCTTTTGAACGAATCACTTTACTGAACTGATTCTACTGATTCAGTACACTGAAAAGAACTGCTTTTCACATCACTGTTACTAACCTCCAAATAATCAGTGAGTATGTTCTTGACTGAAACAGCTTTTATACACAAGGGGAGGAGCCGGCCATCCTGTCCATGTAAACACGGCTCTGACAACAACACAGCCAGCGGGACTCGAGCTTCTCACTCATTGTAGACAGAAATGACTCAGAGACCAATTTACACAGGATAGACTTGATTTCTGATATATTTATGTGGAACTTGTTGCACATGAGGCTTAGAATCAGTGCAGCGTCTGACTGACTGCACAGCTCCAGATGTGAGCTGGTTGAAGTGACGCACTCCATGTCACACTTCTCATTAGAGCCGCTGCGAGCCGCCACCAATCTGAGGTGTGCTATTAAGTGTAACGATCGGTAGAAGGTAGAGATGAGAGGAGCGTGTAACCATGGACAGCACTAATCCACGAGTACTCGAGGATTGATTTGTGGGGATCCATCTTTAATATGATTTGTTGTCTTGCAGCTGAGAACGTAAAGTCATAAACAACGTGTTGACTGAGGTATTAAATGAAGTGAGTGTTTTAAGCTAACACATTTATAAAAACTCTCCGTGTGCTTGTTAAGTCTCAAAGTGAGGATCAAATGAATTTAGTAGCTCAGACAGAAGACAGATATCCGGAGTGACAGCAGAGGAAATTGGATTTAAAAAAACAAATCAAAGGTGCTAAACGAAACCCTGCAGATTATTATCGAAGCTGCTGACAGGAAATCAAGTCTGTGCTGGTATACGGTGCCACTCTGTGACGCTTTTCAACAGGACAGGAATGGAGAGGAGCAGGAGTTTGTTTTTATAAAAACCTTGTAAGCTACGTTTCCTCTCAAAAGATCGTGGAAGTTTCCATCTCCTCTCCTTTGTCTTGACCTTCCTCCTCTGACCCTCATTTTCTTTTCTTTATTGCCAATTGATCCAAAATTAGTTTTAATCATCTGCTGAGAGTCCTGTATTAAAAACGTCAGCACAAAGAGAGAGGCGCCGACTGATCCTGAGAGGTTTCTCTGGAGAGTCTCTTCTTGTTAGTGTTTAAACGTCTAACACCAGAGGGATTCATGCACCAAACCTTATTTAAAAGTCTTCATGTTTGTTTTGACAGAATCCTCTCTTTTTTTTAAAATCCGTCGTCAAAAAAACATCAACATCAAAAACCGGAGAAAGACAAATCCAATTCCCTTTCCCCAGAAACATTTTCCAGCTCCTGCTGGGGGGACCCCAGGGCGTTCCCAGGCCAGATGAGTTATATAAACCCTCCAACAACTTCTGAGTCTACCCAGGGGTCTCCTCCCAGTAGGGCATACCTGGAAAACCTCCAAACAAATGCGTCCAGGAGGATCCTAATCAGATGCCCGAACCACCTCAACTGGCTCCTTTCAATGTGAAGGAGTAGCGCCTCTACCTCAATTTCCCCTGAATGCCTGAGCTCCTCCCTCTCTCTCTAAGGCTGAACCCAGACGCCCTTTGGAGGAAACTCATTTCAGCCGCTTGTATCTGCGATCTCATTCTTTCAGTCACTACTCACAGCTCATGATCACAGGTGAGGGTTGGAACGAAACGGTAAATTGAGCGCTTTGCATTCAGGCTCAGCTTCCTCTTCATCATGAAGCACAATGCCTGCATTACTGCTGACGCTAAGCCAATCTGCCTGTGAATCTCACAGTCCGTATTACCCTCACTCGAGAACAAGACCTGCACGACTACGACCAGAGTAGAAGATAAGGTAGAAAGTATAACTACAACGTGGTCTTCGTCTAATTCACCTTCTCTGCTTCCTTCCAAGAAGTTGCATTCTCTGCTGTGTGTGTCTGTGTGTGTGTGTGTGTGTGTTTCCTCCAGTTCCAGTCACTTGATTTCTACACACCTGCTTCTTATTCCCAGGCGAGTACATGTTGTACAAAAACACATTCTGCTCCAGGTTCCTGAAATAAAAGACATGAAAAAATAACACTGTTTATAAAATGTGCAGCCTGGACTTCCTTCTGGGATTTCTGATTCTCTTTTTAATGAATCAATAGACACACACTACACACAGCAGCCTCGCAGGGGAAATTTGATTGTCTGTCTGGTTTGTTTAATGCAGCTGTTAATGGTTTTTGACC